ATGTTTAAACCTATACCAGCTACCCAAATGGCAAATTCCTAGTACTCACTTTCCTGCCAGCTGATATAGGTTTGTGGGATGAAAAGTGTGATCCTGACTTAAAAACAGTTTTGCCACACACATTATACATTCCAAAGTTAGCATACAAACTTCAAGTTACCCACTACTTTCTTCCATTTGGACAGACAACCACAGTTCAATAATCTGTAGCTATTTTACTGGTCTTGAAAGTATACTCTCAAAAACTGGAGGAGGAAAGGAAATATACAGGTTAAGTATAGACTTATTATTAATAATATTCAATAACAGAAGCAACTAAGACTGAAACCTCACCAAGTATCAGGCAACGCACTGATAGTGTCACGTGCAATCCAATCACAACTCTGAAGTAGATACCACTATTACTTCCGTTGTTTTTTTTTTTTTAAAGATTTTATTTTTCCTTTTTCTCCCTAAAGGCCCCCGGTACATAGCTGTGTATTTTTAGTTGTGGGTCCCTCTAGTTGTGGCATGTGGGATGCCGCCTCACCATGGCCTGATGCGCGGTGCCATGTCCGCGGCCAGGACTCGAACCGGCAAAACCCTGGGCCACCGAAGCGGAGCACGCAAACTGAACCACTCAGCCATGGGGATGGCCCCTATTACTTACATTTTTAAAATGAGAAACACTGAGGCTTAAAGTCTAAAAATTGGCCCCAGATCACAAAGTAGTAAGTGAGAGAGTCAGGATTCCATCTTAGACATGTCTTACACCAAAGCCTTCACTACTAACTAAATTAGTAGAACTAAAAAATAAGTCTATTTCAGTAAAATAAACAAACCTACTGGGTTTGAAATAACGTACATAAAATACAAATATTGGTATAATAAATAGTTTACCTGCTAAAAATTGAGCACCTTGAAGATTTAAAGTCTAGTGAGATTATAATTACATCATTAAAATGCCAATAATCAATCTTTCAACTGAACCCAAATCAAACCACACTTAAGCCTTAGAAGATGCCAAGTCCAACAGAAATATGCAACGTCAAAAACTTAAAGTAAATGCTTTTTTTAAAAAAAAACAAACATTTCCCAAACAACAATCTTGAATGCCGAGAACATGTTTACTACCACATCGCCAGATAGTAAAGCTGGAGTATGAAAATGTAATACTCATATCATACAACAAATGAAAGCAAGCAACGAATCCAAAGTATGGTTCCTTTACCAGACGGAAACATCACTGCAACTCAAATGTACTAAGAAGAAAAAGGCTTCGTGCTTCAGTTTTCCAATGTGTGCAAAATAAGGATAAAATGTGCTCTTTAATTTACCTCTAAAGTTTTAACACGATCTGAAGCACTAACAAAAGAATTCTGCAAATATAAAGTATACTAAAGCAAGGGTCAAAAAGTCAAATACCTAAAGAAGCCAGGCATACAAAAGTCCCCCAGTCAGGGAGTGAGGCAAAATGGAGAGTCTTGCCCCCTCAACAGTCCTAATTCCAATACAAGTAAGAGTTTCCCTTCAAAGGAAACCAGATGTCCGTATTTCTATATTAAAACTGATTTTTTTAAATGTTGTCAACTAATTCAATCACAATCCACCCACATGCAAATTAAAAACACAAAATTATACCATAAATTTTAGCCTCCAAAATGGCTAAAATTTTAAGACAGCTAATACCAAGTGTTGAGATTGTGGACCAAAGGGAACTCACAACACCACTAGAGTAATGTAACTGTGGTACAATCTCTTCAGAAAACTGTTTAACATCTACTAAAGCTGAACATATGCATACCCTGTTAGGACCCAGCAATTCCACTCCCAGGTTAGCCAACAGAAATGCTTAGACTTGCTCACCAAAAAAAAAAAAAAAAGTTCAAGAATGTTCAAAACAGTGCTCTTCTTAACAGACAAAACTTGGCAACATTCCATTGCCCATCAAGAGTAAAATGAGAAAACAAAATGTGGTATATTCCTACAATGTAACACCATACAGGAACTACAGAGGCTATTCCTACATAACATGAATGGATCTCGCTAATACGCCAAAAAAATAAAAAGAGTACAAACCATAGGATTCCACTCCTATAAAGTTCAAAAAAAGTACAAAAAAGTGAAAAAATGAATCCAGAGTGTGAGAATGTAGTGTCAGAAATCAGTACTGTAGTTACCTTTGGGGAAGGGTCGTGACTGGAGCCGGCAAGAGCAGGACTTCTGGAGGTACTGATTATGTTCTGTTTTTTCACCTGAGTGCTGGTTATAAGCTATGTGTTCATCTTGTGAACATTCTAAGCACTTATAATTTGTACACTTTTCCCCAAGTATGCATATTTCAATAAAAACTTTTAAAACACATAGAAGATACCATGGAGCCCAAACAAAATATTTCTGCAGGCAGATCCAGCTTACCAGAGCAGATAAACTTATGACCTCTCAGGTAGTCTTACATTTAAAAAAAAGCAAAGAAAAAATTAAAGCAAAATAAAATTGTCTCAGTGATGCTACATGATTAGGTCAGCAACTAACAAAAATTTTTAATTTCTCCTAATAGCAATACCTCTTGGAATGCATCACCTATTTTAATTGCCTCATATACTTAATTAACAAACAAAGCCTGTCTCAAAGATATGGTTAGGAATACAATAAGAGGTAGAAAGTTGACTAAAAATTAAACAATTATGTGTAAAAATTCAAAGCAGTCATTAACCACCAACACAAACCTCTTCCCTGCTTCCTGAGCAACTTTACTTGCCACTCACTGATAGAAAGCAATTTTATTTCATCCGTAGGAGCTCACAACCTAGGTACTGAGTTACTAAGAAGCCTACAGCAGAAAAGAGAAGCCTTAGGCTTCACCCAGTCAAGTTAAAGCAAGTCCTACAGAATCCAAATACGTCACTCAGCTATTTACTCAAATAACTGTTAAATGACTGAATGTTAATTTTAAAATGGCTTTTTAGCATTAACCGCCTGTCCTCTCAAGACCCTATATCCCAATTACTTTCCTTTTCTGAGATGTGAAATGCAAGTTTGAGCAACTGCTAGTATTTTTCCTCCACTCCCATCTTCACCTGCTTATATCCTGTCCTATCTTTCACGTCTCAAATCTACTACCTTTATGTATTAGAAAACCCTAGAAAGATCACATATTAAACCGAATACCAGCATTTTTGAAAGGACTTCTTTCTGTAGGTAACAAAACTACTGTTCAGTGTCATTGCTTACTAATCAAACATTACTCTTAGATTAATCTGAGTCACAACTCACACATCCAGCAAAAGTTTACGTTGAAAATGCAAATTTGCTGCTCAAAATTCCACCCATAAAGCACTTTTTACAAAACATTTTAAGCTACAAATTAATCTTCTTAGCATGTCAACCTCATCGAATACATCTGCATTAAAGTCAAGACCATCACTGCAAAAGAAACAAACTTTTTTCAAAAACACACAAATCTCTGGCAAGACACTTAATACTCTTCATAGGGCAAACAAGTGCTAAAACATCAAGCCAAGTTCGTTTATAGTTTAAAAAAAAAAGAAAAATGTTCTGACATCCTATTGCCTATCTGACATTAAATTGCCTATCAAATTATTTTAAGATCTAAAAACTACTTAGAATTTCCAAGAAAGTAGGCCTTTCCCACTTGGTTTAGAAATGTTCATATACTCAGAAACAAAAAAAGAAAATCTGACACGTGTCCTACTTTTTCCTCAAGGGCAACATTCTGTAAAATAGATTACACTTATAATTGTAAGTAAACTCCACTCACTAACTAAAATGTTGCAAGTCAAGAGATAATAACAAATAACTAAAAAATACGAACAGCCCTAAAATATCCAAAATCAAGGGCACACAAACGTGTGCTGCACATGACACGCTTTCAAGGCTTCATGCTAAGAGTCTGCTTGATACAAAGTTGTAGAAGACAGGATCCCTACTGACACCCAACAAATTTATTCTAGCTTTCAGGAAAACTGTGTTGAAATGCAAGTCTTCTGAAATTCCTACTCTAAACCCTAGACTAAACCTAAGCACACTATAAAGGCTGCTATCCGTTCACTCCAAATCCTTAGAAAGCATTTCCTGCCTGGAAAACCTTTCTCCCGTAAGCCTTATCCAAACTTTTTCCGTTCTTTCAACCTACTCTAGGAAGCCGTAAGCCCGCCCCTCACCTCCCGCCCCCTACCCACACGCACACCCATGGGGAACCTCCACACTCGGTGGACTCCACCGCACACGGGCACGCAGGACACATGTGCCTGCAAACCCAACCCCTTTCCACACCCCCGGAAACGACACCCCCTTTATCACACACCGCACGCCGCAGCCCATCCCCCTTCCTCCCCGCCCCCACTCACCTCACCCCAGTCCACCCACCCACGTTCTCGGGAGCCCAGCCTCCCCTCACTCCGCGGCTCGCCGCAGGCTGCGGGGAGGGGAAGCAGGAAGCAGGAAGCAGGGCCCGGGCCGGGCCTAGGCCTCTCAGACCGCCTAGGAAGGTGAGGAGGGGAGCCCGCGGGCCAGGCACGGCGGCAGGGCCTCCTCCCGCCCCCTGCGGCCCCCGGCCTCCCCTCCGCCGCGGCCCCCAGGCCGGACCACACTCACTTGCCAACCGCGGTCCATCGAGTACTCCGCCGCTGCCTCCTCCGCTGGCTGCAACGCCCGCCCCGGGGCCCCCCAGGTCCGGCTTCTTGGGCCCCGGGGGCGGCCCGGCTCCCCCGCCCGGGACGGCTCCGGGAGGAAAGCCGGCCCCAGCAGCGCCCGCCAGAGCCAGGGGGACGCTGTTGCTATGGAGGCCGAGGCCCGGGGCAGCTCCGGCGGCCGGGTCCTCATGCAGGAACTGACACTCCTCCCCGTAGAAGCAAGTCTTATCCTTAGCGTAGTAGCGGCAGTACTTCAGCTTCACTCCCGCCGCCGCCCCGCCGGGGACACCCCCGACCCCCGGCGGGGCCACCACCGCCACCGCCGCCGCCAGCGAGGAGGAGGAAGAGGAGGCGGCGGCCGAGGGGGGCGGGAGGCCGCCGCCACTGTTCATGGCAACGCCGCAGCCTCGTCTTCCGCTGCCGCCCGAGGAGCCGCCGCCGCCGCCGCCACCATAGACCGGGGAGGGAAGGAAGACGCTGCCGATACCGGATAAAAGCCTGGGCGGGTGGGTCTGTCCCGCTGCGGGAGCCGGAGCCGCCCGGGGAGAGGGGGGGAGGGGAGAGGGGAGGGAGGAGGGGGTAGGAAGGAGGGGAGGGGAGGGGGAGAGTTGGGATTCTCACTCACTCTCTCGTTCTCTTTTCTTAAAGGGGCCGCGCGGGACGACGGGGTGGGCGTGCGGACCCACACGGGGACTTCGAGGGCGCGGGCTAGGAGAGGGGGAGCGGCGGCGGCAAACGGGTGCGGAGGGCGGAGAGGCCGGTTTATTTTTAAATTCTGCCTCCACTCGCTCGCTCGCGCGCTGGTTCCTCCGACTTGTTTATTCCATTTTCCTCTTCCTGAGACGGCGGTCGCCGCTGCGCGTGCGCAGAAGCGCGGTGGCTTGTGGGTAGCGGGAGCGCGAGAGGAAGCCTGGCCTGGCGTCGGGCCCCCGGGGCATCCGCGAGCCGGCGGCGGTTGGCGTCCGCGGTGGCCTTCCCGGAGTCTGATTCGGGTGGTGGAGTTCTCACGAGACGAATACCTTCCTCTTTTGTATATCCTCCTACTTGTAAAGCCAGACGTCGTTTTTTAACTGAAAAGACAAAATTAACCGAGTGTGAAGGGCCATCTTGAGGGGCCGCACCTGGGGACGAAGCCCAAGCTCTCGCTCGGTTGGAAGAATAGTTTCATTCTGTGTGCCACAATTCCTCTCCCTTTTTTTCCTCCTCCCAACTCTTTCCTTCCACTTGAAGGTGATGAGAACTACAGGACTGATTACCTTGAGTTCTGGGCCTTTTACAAAAATCTGAACCAAAAAAGGTTGATTTCGACAAGCCCCCTGCTCAGCGCCGCACCTGTTTTCTCTATATTTATGTTACTGAAAGCCTCAGTAAAATATTATGAAAAATAAGATGCCACCTGGGGACAACATTGCCTAGGCAGCACTAGAAGGTTTCATTTGTAAATGTACTACGTTGCTTTTCTCCAGTCAGCCTAGACTTGATTGGAGATTAATTTTTAAAAGATAGTTTTTCCCTCAGCTGTCTCTGATGTTTTGCTCTGCTATATTGAAAAAAAAAAAAAAGGTTTTCAGGAATTTTAAAGAATTGCCATGAAGGGGAATGTAGTTTTAACGTTTCAGTTTTTCTCGTCTGTAAAAGATTTTCTCAAAAAGGCAGTGTCGCAGTTGTGAGGGGGCTTGTTTATTGGCAGTATCTAAGGAATTGTGGCAAACCAGAGGTCACGGAAGAACGGATATAAGCAAGTGTACCACATTGCAGAAAGGGAAAAGTGGACTCCATAGACCACAACACTGGTAAGCCTGGTGATTTTCCTTAGCTAAATTCAAAAATAATAACATTGTATAATGCCTTTCTGTTTAGAAACATTTTCTCGTATTTATTTATTCAACAAATATTTATTGATGCACATTACGTGTACCAGGAAGTGTGCTAGGAGCTGGGGAAGCAAAAGTAAACAAGATGCAGTCTTGTCTGAGTTCACATGGCTTGTTTATCCCCTGGTTGGAGAGGCAAAAAGTACACAGGCGATTATAAACCAGTGTCTTAAGTGCTAACTTTGTCACATTGGCTATCAGAAGATATTAAAGATGGTAGTCTTCATAGAGAAAGTTGATACCCCAAAAGCGGAAGTTGAGAACATCTGCTTTGAATTCAGTACCCAGTGTTACTCTGGGTAAGTTGCTTCGCTTCTCTGTATCTTAGGCATGAAACAGATAAGAATAGTACCCACTGCATACATAAAGTATAAACTAATAATGTATTATGAAGTGTACCATGCTTACTAAGAATCGAGTAGGTTGTAGCTACTGCTATTAGTAGTATCGCTGCTAGTAGTAGTCGCTGTATAAGAGTGTGGGGAAAGAGCATTACAGGCAAAGTGAACAGCTTGTGCAAAAGGCCTTGAGGTGAAAGAGAGCTTAGGTTGTTAGAATAGTGGTAGTGGAGAATTGAGAAGGGACCAGAACACAAAAGTCCTTGTAAGGCATGTTAAAGGATTAGACTTTTTCTTGAGAGCAATAGAAAATTATTACAGCATTTTACAAAGTTAAGTAGTAATATCATCAGATTTCCCTTTAGAAAAAAAATTTCGATCCTCATAAGACCCCTATGAGGAAAGTAAAGAAGATGGATTATCACCATTTTGTAGATGAAGAAACTGAGTAAGGCTTGGAGTTACACAAAGTTACCAGCTTGTAGATTGCAAAGCCAGCACTTAAACTCAGGACTTCTAATTGCAAAACATGTGCTCTTTCCATTACACATTTTGCCATTTCTTAATGAAAATACATGTCTTTTGATGGCTTGGACAGGAAAGTAGTGTCTGTGGTGAGAAAATGGAAGTTCATTAATCGTTAAGTTCATGCCAAATTAAGCATATCATTCAAACAAACCTTTACGGAGCATCTACTGTGTATTATGTACCAAGCAAGTTCTGTGCTAGGATCTGCTATACAAAAATGTGTAAGATGTAGCCTTTGTCCTCGAGAGTTCCTGGGAACTGAGGGAAATGTCAAAGGTAAAGTAAATCATCCATCAGTACCACATTTGACAAAGTTTTCTATTAAATCTTTGTGAACATGATGGAGAAAAATAGGCTAACATACTACAGTTAGGTGACTTCAATGCTCTTTGATTAGTCATAATTAAAATGTTGATAAAACTGGCTTTGGAGCTCCTTGAACAATAGCCAAAGAATATCAATTGATCAATACTTTGCTGTCCTCCTTTGGACTCTGTTCTTAACCTATTTTTATGAAAAAATGTTATCTGCTGCCTAGGTGAAGAAATATATAGCATATTTAGCAGATCTGCAACCTTTTGCAAAACCATTGGGGTAGCTAATGCAATAAATGACAGATTAGCATTTGGAAATCTCCATCAGCTGGAAAAAAGGACCACTGCTAACAAAATAAAACCTGAATTAAATTGAGGGAAACAGAGCAAACAGGCGCTTTAATACATTGCTGATGATACAACCTCTCCTCCCGTCTCCCCAAAGCAAGTTGGTAATGTTTTTTCAAAAGCCTTTTTAAAACGTACATAGCCTTTGAGCTGTTAATATTCTACTTGGCAAGTAAATCCTAAGAAAATAACTATAAACAAGAATTTTTATGCTTCATTGTGCTCCTTGCAATGTTGCATATGAAAGCCAAAGAAGACAAAGTTGCAAAAAACCTAAATTCTAAAACCAAGGGGAATGGTTAAATTATGGCCTATCCACTGGAATATTATGCAGCCATTAAAAATGATGGCCATGAAGATGTACATTAGTGCCTATGATACGATGTAAATATTTAACATGATACAAAATTGTATATGCTATATTACTATAATGATGTAAACAATAAAAAACCTGATAGAAATAAAGACTAACTGCTTCAAAGCATTGACAGTGGTTTTACTAAGGTGGTAAGATGACAGAGTAGGCTTTTCCTATTTTCCTCTACTTCCCAAATTTGTATCAGGAACATATATTATTTCTGTTTTAGAAAAATAAGCATTGAAATTTACTGTAATTTAATCTTAACCTTTTAATTCTGAGGAGTAAGTACATGGATGTTTGTTAAATTGTTCTCTGCATTTTTAGGGGTTTTTTTGTTTTCAAATAAATTAATTTTGTGAAGACAAACTGGGCACTCAGTGTTCCCATTTCTTCAAATTTTCACTAGTCTAGTGTTTCTCAAAGTCTATTTCATAGAAGACTGGTTCAACAGTATATTAGTTAGTATTATACAAAGAAAGGTTTTATTGTTGAGAAAGTTTGGGAAATACTGAGTTAACTTTACTTCAGGTCTGTTTCAGAGCCTTTAATATATTGATATGCTATAATTCTCTTAAAGCAGGATATAAAATGCAGAATTTACCAAATTTTTTTTTTTTTTATCACAGAACACTTTTTTCTCTAGTCATCTTGTGGAGTTAGTGTTCCTCGAACATACTTTGAGGAACCTGTCCTAGTCACCTGCTGTCTCATTTCCCCTATATAACCTATTTTAAAATTTGTCCACATTCTTTAATTGGCCCCATCCCAACCCTTCAACCTTGCTTTCTACTTCATACATCCATAAGAAGAAAACATTGTCCTAACTTATTAGAGTCCCTTCTTCTATCTGCGACTAATCCTGTCAGTCACACGCTGAACTCCATTGCCTAACGTTTCCTCAGGAATCAAGTCATTCTCCATCCAGTATCTTCTGTTTTTTGACTCTCCTCTTAGTATATGACTATGTAAAGTCTCTTATTTAAGTAATTTTTCAAGCATCCATTCCTTTCTATTGTGAACTTTTTGTAATCATAAGGAAAAATGCTTCTTTGTTTGTTTTTAAGAACATCAGGAACAAACACTGCTGGTAAGAGGGCTAACTGATACAGCCACTTAGGAGGGCAATTTGGCAATATATAAAATTTTTAAATATCCATACCCTATGACCTAAAAATGCCACTCCTTCACCAGTTTGGATCCCAGGTGTGGACCTCTGCACTGCTTATCAAGCCATGCTGTGGCAGGCGTCCCACATATAAAGTAGAGGAAGATGGGCACGGGTGTTAGCTCAGGGCCAGTCTTTCTCAGCAAAAAGAGGAGGATTGGCAGATGTTAGCTCAGGGCTAATCTTCCTCAAAAAAAAAAAAGTCAAAAATTGCCACTCCTGGTATCTACCATAGAAAAACACTTTTATACTCAAGGAGGCATGCATAACACTGTTCATTTGAGGCATTGTTCATAATAGTAAAATTAGAAATAACCTAAATGTACACAGAGAGATGGATCCATATGTGCCATTATTCTCTAAGATCTATTGTTGAATGAAAAAAACATGATGCAGGTAAATGTGTGGATTATAGCACTTTTTATGTAAAATAATTAAAATAGATTTCCTACAAGGATATATACAAGTGTATACAGACAGGACTGGGAGGATGAACATTAGGTTGCTAACAGGATGGGGATTGGGAGTAGTGATCAAGGGGGACTTTAGCTTTGTCTGTAATGTTTCAGATTTACAAGAGGACTATATGTCTGCTTTACTTAGATAATTGAAATTTCATTTTAAAAAAAGAAAACCCTCACTTCTCATTAGTTTCTTCTTTTGACCTAATTTCTCTTCACAGGCAATTTTTTAAATCATCCATAACCAGTCTCTTCATTTCCCATTCATCCCTTAATCAAGAATAATCTCACATTTGCCCTTGCTTTGTTAATTTTTTTTTTTTTTTTGCCAGAGCCACCACTGATATTAGTTAGCAAATTTATTACGTATTTTGCAGCCGTTTTGTAATGTTCAACAGTATTAACCATTTTCACAGCACTCTTCTCTCCTGGCTTCCAGTTACCCCTTTCTCTTGTTTTCCCTATGCCTTTTTAACCCCCGATAGGGTTTCCAATGCCTCTGCCATTCAATGCTGCCTGCATGGTAGGCCTTGCAGAAATATTTGTGAAATATATTTCAAGTAATTATTATAATTCAATACAATGCGTGAGATATCCTCTGAGCTTTAAGTTTGTATTGTGAACACGAAATGTAATGTTAATGAGACAAAAAAGTATACTAGATCAAGAATTAAAATAACTGGTTTGACGGGCCTGCCTGGTGGTGTAGTGGTTGAGTTCCTATGCTCCGTTTCAGCGGCCCAGGGTTCACAGGTTCAGATCCTAGGTGCGGACCTACACACCGCTTGTTAAGCCATGCTGTGACGGCATCTCACATAAAATAGAGGAAGATTGCCGCAGATGTTAGCTCAGTGACAATCTTCCTCAAGCAAAAAGAGGAAGATTAGCAACATATGTTAGCTCAGGGCCGATTTTCCTCACAAAAAATAAATAAACAACTGGTTTGAAATCTGGTTTTTACTACGTTATACCTGTGTGGCTTGTCTCAAGTCTCTTAACCTCTCTTAGCTTCAGTTTCTTCATTTTCAAAACAGAAATAATATCAACTTTATGAGGCTGTCTTGAGGATTGAATAATATAATCAGAACCCCATGGAGAAAATAATCTCTCCGCCACTAAGTAAACAAAGTTTTTATTTGCAAAATAATTTTAACCACCTTTCCGTGTAAAAGGGATTCTACTTCTGAGAACTTCATATTTTATATTTTATTGCCTTTAATATTACTTCCTTTAGCGCTCTTTCTCATGCATCTCTCTACTTATATGATGATGGTGTCAGCAATTACTGTAATGATGCCTCAAATTCCGTAGTGTTTCACAGCTTACAAAAGCAGCCAGGTGTGTTTCTTGTTTCTCTCCTCAACAATCCTGTGAAATCTTAAAATGAGAATATTATTTTAATGT